GGTACCTGGCCATGTAATGGGGGACAGAGACAGGACAAGAAGGAAGGCTTTTTCGTCTACTTAATTTGTGTGTGATGAGCTGATGATTAGAGAAGTCCAAATCAGTATTAGTAGTAGGTTCTTGACCTTTGGCGCCATGAGAAACTAGGAGAGATCAGAAGCACTCATCAATCGTGTCATGTTTGGTCATATGCTTTCTGCAGTCACACCTAGCATATGATATTCCCCATAGAGCATTATATATGGATCGTTTTTGGTGTAGTGGCTCAAAATTAAGCAGTGGCAGCTTATGCTGTCCAGAGCTTGATGCATCAGAGCACCGGCACCGTAACCACCCCACTTCCACAAGCCGCAACACGTTTACACGTGATTAATTTCAGCGATGAATGTGCAAGGCTAAGAAAGAAAAACAATCATCGGCAGGGAATCTTAAAAGTAGTTTTTGTGCTCAATATAAAGCCGGGGTCAAGTCCATCCCCCAAAACACCTAAGTTGTGTTGGCACAGAAAAGAAAAACTTAATTAGCATTCTGAATTTGCTGCAGGGTGTTTTAAAGATTTTTTTATTTGATTATGGAATTGAAGCTGCGTCTTTTGTTCGGGCGCGCCTATACCTCGCCCAACGCGAGTTCGAGCGACCTCCCCTGTCAGGGCTTCACGAACGCGCCGGCCCATGTAGGTTCCAGCTAAGTTCTTCTTTTCTCCTGCTTTTCCTTTGTTCTTTTATTATTATTATTTTATTCTTATTTTTGGACATAAAACAAATATTAAAAGTTAAAATAATCACTTTTTAAAAAGAATGCTAACTCGATGTAGCACAATTCTTAGCTTAATTAAAAAATGTTGATGGCATATAAAAATGTTTGTAACATTTTAAAAATATTCACATGTTCCAAAATATGTATGTGGAATTATTAAAAAAAAGTGCTAATCTTGCATATGGAATTTTTTTAAAGGTATATCAACTAAATGTTTAAGATGTCTATGTAAAATGTACAGTGTTTATGAAAAAAGGAGGCATTAAACATGTATACGAAAGAAATGTTAATCATTGTATAAAAATGCTAATCATGAATTAAAAAATGTGAAATATGTATAAAAATGTTCTTGGTGTATGCAAAAAATGTTAGACATCAAAAACATTTGTTTCAAAACGTGTTGGTTATTCATTTAAAAAATGTTTAACTTGTATAAAAACTAATGTGTCACATGGATATAGTAAACCGAGGAGAAACGATAAAAATATACCCCTATACAAGAATTCGTCCAATTAACCAATTAACTTGTCGATTAATCCCTACACATAGGGTCATCGAGTAGCCGAAAAAATAATAAATCGTTGGATTAACTTACCTATTAGCCTATTAATCACTACTTGCTAGTCAACCAAGCAGCTACCAGTTAACGATTTTCTCAACAATGCTAATAACAACAAAGAAAATAAAAAAGTTAAGCAAAAAGGTTCTAAACCAAAGAAAAACCATAAAAACAGATAAAAAGGATGAAGGAAAAACACACAAAGAACTAAATAAAATAGGTGAAAAGAAAGAGAAACAAAGAAAACAAAGAAAGAAACAAATAAAACCGAATAAGAAGCAAAATAAACAGTGAACACCGAGAGAAAACAAAGAAAAATGAAGAAAAAACAGATAAAACAAGCCAAACTGAGGAAAATAGAAAACTGGTGAAAAACAAAGAAAATAAAAGTTATAACAAAGAAAAGAGGAAGACTGGTGAAAACCAATGAAAATACTGAAAGAACCGAAGAAAAAGGAAAAAAAGAGGGAACCTACATTGAGCGAATCCTGGACTAATGGGCTGGCGCGCTCCGGCTACGCCTGACAGGAGAGCTGCTACCATAT